AGGTTCTTTACAAAAATAGCTGGCAGGCCATAATTTTCCAACCTAGATACTCAGATTGCTTTTATATCTCCTCATTATTGGATGTTTGAAATACATTTATTTCGTTACAGGCACATCTCAGATATTCAGGATGTGGCTCTAGATGACTGCAGTAAATAGAGTCACATGAATTTTTCGGTTTCCCAGCGCATATAAAAGTTGTTTATAATGTACTGTAGTCTCTTAAGTGTGAGATAGAGTTATGTCCCCAAAAATGTACATATCTTAGTTGGAAAAATACTTTATTGCTAAAAAAAATGCTAACTACCATCTGAATCTTCAGCGAATTGTAGTCTTTTTGCAGTAGTACTGTTTACGACCACTGATCACAGATCACTGTTAAAAGCATAATAATGAAAAAGTTTGGCATATTGAGAGAATTGCCAAAATGTGACACAGAGATATTAAGTGAGTAAATGCTGTTGGAAAAATAGCTTTGATAGACTTTGTCTACACAGTGTTGCTCCAATTTGTTAAAAGCACAGTATCTATGAAGCACAGTAAAGGGAAGTGCAGTAAATGAAGTATGCCTGTATGTAGATAATTCACATATAACCATGTTGGTGCTAATTTTAATTGGTTTCTTCAGATAATTTGTTTGAACTATAGTCCTCAAGTGGAATTATAAAATCACTGAGTAACCCATAAAGTGTCTTACAGTGCAGGAATTGATGTATTTAGAGAATGTCAGAGCTAATAATAATTTCATCACTTAATATATAGTAATTATTGTTAATTACTACCATTTATGCATATATATTGTCTATTAATTTTCCATCATGAGATTTTTATATTGCGTGTGTTGTATTTTTTAACCATTGGCTGTCTGTGTCCTTTTCCACTGATTAGGGTACATAAGAAATAGAGAAGGTGAGTAACAAGGAAACGGTGTGGTGTGCCTGATGAAGTAAAGACAGACCTGAAATTGCGTTGTTGTCGTCCCCCCACCACCAGTTAACCATTCTTGCCCCCAAAAGAGAGCAGTCATAGCATCTTCTTAGGATGAAACCTGGATGCTGATGGTTTAGGAAAAAAAGGTTGGAAGAAATTTAATTCCATTTTATATAACACATTATAAATTTCCTGGTTTTTATTAATACTATGTAGAATTTCACATCAAAGGTCGAAAACACTGTGGTTAAGTTTTCTTACCAGCAGTCAGATTGTGCCTTTCGATCCCTGTCTTTAAGGTGCCTAGAATGGCTGTGTGTTGACTAAATATAATGCACAGTAGAGGATCCTTGACTGATGTTCTCATCCAGAGTCCTTCCTTTTTATTAACTGTATTTGAGTGTTCTTTTATGTGATATTAAACAGGCAGTTTTTTTTTCATTGTGAAAAAGCATTTGTACTGGTCGTAGGAAGGATTCTTATGAATCCTTTATGAGAACAGACATAGTTGATGTGTTATACTGGACCCTGCCTCTAGTTGCAGTAACGTGACTCTAACAGTGAGGTTAGTGTCTTTGCCTTTTTAAAGTATGTGATAAAAAACAATAATAAAGTATGTGATAGTTATTTTAATCTCAAGAGTAAAGTGTTCACAAGTTTTCAAGGCTTTCATTAATACTTTGTTTTAGAAATAGTATCCAGGAATCCGAATTTTCATGAAGTACATTCATATTTTCAGCCTGCTCCTTGAGGTAACAGTCTGGGTGTGTACGTACACAGTAGTTTTATTTTACCTGTTTAAAGTTTCAGAATTCTCTTAGCTTCAGCATTCTTGTCTTTTAAAAGTCAGTGTCCACTCTGTAATGTTTTAGACCTAAACTCTCCAGTACAGTAGCCCCTAGCAATATATGGCTAAACTTAAAAATTCAGGAGCCACACGTGGCTTACTGAACAGCGAAGATATAGGACCTCTCTATGGTAACAGATTTCTGCTGAACAGTGCTATTCCTGCAATCATCTACTGTGTAATTTTTTTTAATGGTATAGAAATCAGAGCAATGAAGAATATTTTCTAGGAGCAGGGTTATTGTTATTTTCAAAAACACAAGATAGCAGTATTTGACCAGTCTCATCTGGGTATCGCTACTCACCATACGGGAGCACTGTTTTTAGAGCCATGCTTCCTTATCTTTTCCACATCGTGGCATACTTGAGAGCAAAAGTGTTTGTATGGCACTCTGAGGTTAAGTGCGGGCTCCAGGCTGGAGGTCTTAGGTTCGGGCGGTTGCAAACCCATACCCCCTTCCTGGCATACTAGTGTGCTGCGAGGCACACACAGCTCAAAGCTCACTTCCAGAGTACTCCTTAATGGGTTCCTGGACCGTAAAGCAGAATTCGATTTTATTCTCCCTGTTATTCATCCTTTTTATATGTCATATTCCCAAGAAGACCTTATAAGATCTAGGCATTTTACAACTGAGGACAACTTTGACAGCATTCACACACTTGGAGGTTTAATGGGGGCTTATGTGCACCGTGGCTGTCTCACTTCACGTGTGGACGGCCGAGCCTGCAGGAGTCACGGCGTGTCATTTCTGCTTCATTCGATGGGAAGGAGGAAGGAACACTTGGGCATGTGCCTATTTAATTCACCACACAAGTCATGAAAATAACTTACCTATCTGAAATATATGCAGTTAAAAAAAATCAGTGAGGAAGCCATGAATCTGCGTACCTCTCCCCCAGATAAAATTCCACTGTACTGTTCACCTAAGCAACAGTGTCTAGTTAGCTGTTTCTGAAATTTTATGTTTATTCATTGGCTTTTGGCAAGATAAATAGTCAACAAAACAACAGTACCTTAAAAATAGCTGAAATGAGAAAATTATTTGCCTTTCTCTCTGTATTTCCCACCCTCAAGGATTTAATGTGGGTTGACTTATAGTGTAAATCTTTGGCTCTTGTTGTTTCCTGACAGTCAGCCTCTTGCTGTTCAGGTCAGTTGTTTCTAGGGTTCCTCAGCCTATATGACTTCCTGTTACTCCATTGAGTGAACAGGAGAATGAATCTGGAGTTGGTATGAAGTGTGAGCATTTTACCAAGCCAAGAGTATATACTGGAGTCCAGGGGTCAGGAGTTTTTGGTATAGCGTGACTTTGTAGCCATATTAACTAGTTCATTTCATGGGAAGTACAAAGTATGAATGCTGTAGGGAAAACTGGCTGAGTTGGACTTAAAAGAACAGGAGAAAGTTTGCATCTCCAAAGTGGTGCCTGTCTGAGGGATTTGAATTTAAAGATAATTTTTGCTGTGTGTGGGAGTTTTTTCCCACCTTATTCCCTGATTTTAGAATCTGACCTACAAGTAAGATGTCGCTATTTGCTCTGTCCAATAGTTAACCCTGCTTATTTCCTCTCTGTAACTGTGCTATAATGTACTTTAGTGCAAGGACTATGTACTTTTAATCCCTTATTATACTCAATACAGAAGTAAATACAGAGCATCTAATAGAATGACTTTTAAGTACTGGTTGATGTTGGGCTTTATAGAATAGTACAGTATATTCAGTTTTACTCCTTGGTGTTACATATACATGTAGCGTAAACACTAGATTTGTTCCTTCCTCCTGATAGCACCAACCATGGTGAGTTGTCTGGGCCAAAGGTTTTAAGCTGGAGATGGGGTGCTGTCCAGACCTTTTGAAATTACATGCAAATTTTTGTGTGTACTTAAATGTGAACAGTTCTTGGGAGAGTGTGTATAACTTTCAGTAAGTTCTCAGAGAGTTCCAGAAAGATAAAGTGCCTTGGACCTAGACAGTGGAAGAAGCAAAGAAAGCTTTGCAGAATCAGACTCAACTCGGGAAAATCACTGAAATGAAAATGATAAAATGCAGTGCTGGTCAGTTTATTGATGTGCTTTGTTGGTCAGTAAGTTCTAAAATTTAAAGTATATAATGTTCTTTATCATATAAGTGAAGTGAAGTCACTCAGTCATGTCCGACTCTTTGTGACCCCATGGACTGTAGCCGACCAGGATCCTCCATCCATGGGATTTTCCAGGCAAGAATCCTGGAGTGGGTTGCCATTTCCTTCTCCATTATTATATAAAGTCACTTTTAAAATTCTTACAGTGAGCTAATGTTGGCAAGAAAATGACCCTTTGCCCATAGTAAGAGTTTGCTTTTTTATGTAACATGCATTTGATGGGGTCTTCCCTAATTTAGTATAATGCTTAGTAGTGAAGAACTTGTAACAGTGGGGAATTGTGTAATGTGATTGCTTTATCTTAATGCCCAATCCTGTAACTTAGATTTTTTTCTTTAGGAAAATGACTGGTGTCAAAAAGCAAGGGAAAAAAACTGATAATTTTATTTGAACTTGACTGTGAAGTTAGCACTGACTTTGGGTGTGTAACATGACTGATTCTAGTAGCCCCTGCTGTGTCTGTGTGTGGGAACCACAAGAAGAGCTATGCATTTTGAAGGTGCATAGCACAAAGCATTGCGGGTATAAGTGTGTTCTATTTACAAGTATTTGTTTGAGGCCATAATTTGAATTTATTTATTTATGATTGTTTAAAGTTCTATCTGAAATTATTTTTGCATTTAAAGAATTTCCCCATTTTAGTTATATCTGTCTTAATTTTACAGACCTTCTTTGGGTTTGCGTATATCAGCTTATCAGAAGTATATAAGAAAACATTAGCACAATAATTATTAATGTTTAATGGTGCTATCATGGAATGTTTCATGCATTGTTGATTTCTTTATATTCATGAATTTAGTGAATTATTAGTAAAGCACTGATATTTTTTGTTTGTTATGTGCCTATTTTAAACAAAAATAGTGTCATTGGTTTACTTTGGGGAGAGTTTTGTGGGAGGAGTGAACCAAATATTCATGACTCAAAATATTCATGAAAGAACTTTAGATTTACTTTATTTCTGAGGGCAGGTTGATATATAGACTTGGAATATATTAGGAAAACATAGCTGAGTTCTTAGTAAGAAACTCTGTCGTGAGTTGGGAGAGAAGAACTAATGTCTTTTTGTTTGTTTCAATTATACAGCAGATATAATTTCTACAGTAGAGTTTAATCATTCTGGAGAGTTACTCGCAACCGGAGATAAAGGTGGCAGAGTTGTCATCTTTCAGCAGGAGCAGGAGGTAAGTGTTTAAAGCTTGATGTCCGAGTTTCATTTGGCTCTTGGGACTGCAGCCTATGCTGGAGAATCTCGTCAGAGGATGTTGGCAAATTTTTCTTTAAGAATTTGTTGTATATCAAGCAGAATATTGAATGTATAAATAGCTCTAGTTCTTTTAGCTTTGTGTGTCTGTGTCCATGTGTGTGTTGTTTTAATTGTGAGAGGATTTGGTTAGAGAAAGGATTGAGAAGTGTGTTATACAAGATTTTAACTGGTTTTATAGCCTTGGCCCTCATTTTTTTTCTCCTAAAATTCCATAAAGTAAAATTGTTTTGACCTCTTCTCAGTGTATAATTTGCCTTGTGTAATTAGGGGTGGGAGCCTGGTTTAAAGGAAAAAGCTGCTCAACTATTTTGATATCAGTTTATACTAATACAGTTACTGCAATTTAAGTATAAAGGTTTTAAATGATAGTTGCATGTGTACACATGTAATGTATGTAATTTACAAGTTAGTTACCCCTCTTTAAAGTGGATTTGAAAATTGTTTTCCTTTCTCTTTGAAGAAAGGGATTTCTCATTGCAGAATCTGCGATTAAAGTAGGGTTGGTTTGGTTTTGTGTATAACATAGGCACACTTCTAAACCTGATTGACTAGATTTCTCACTAAAATTTTATACTAAACAAAATTTGTCACACTAGATTTTCCCTTAGTCTCCCCCTCCATTTGTAGATCAAAGTTAATTTATCATTTGCTTCCAAACATTCTGTCCCTGTCTCTATACTATCTTCAAGAAGAGTTAAAAGTAATGTGGATAAAATGCAGGGCTTTATGAACAGATGTCTAAATCATAACACAGAGTTAGCTTTTAAAGGATTGTGAAATTCCTTAAATAAGCAAGAATCTAGTAATAATACTACTACTTTGCACTTCTATAGCGCCTTTGACCTGAGGATCTCAAAGTGCTTTACAAACACTAATGAATTAATCCTCACAACACCCAGTGAGGTAGGTAATTTAATTTTAAAAGAAATGATTAATAGTGTCTGATTAGAAGATGCACAAGCACTAAATATGTCTCCTTTTATTATTTTCTTACTGGTTGGAAGGAAATATGAAAATAAGACTCAAGGTTTTCTTGACAAAGGATGTTTTTGTGGGAAGTGGGGGCAAAATCAGTTTTCTGTTCCTGTTTTCAAGCAGCTAAAAAGTTGACCATAACAATCTAGGAAAAGTTGGAGTCGAAATAGAGCCTTACAGATCATTATAGTTTACCTTTATCTCCAAGTGAGAAAGCAGATTGATAAGAGATCCCTTGATTACCCAGACTCATAGCCAGAGCCCAGAGCTCCAGCATGTCCCCTCGGTGCACTCCTGCGCCTTTTACGTTAAGTCACCAAAATGTGGGTGTTAACGTTCTTTAGAAGTTAGAGCTGGATTTCCTGTAGACATTCTCTGCCCTTGTGTGGTTGGTTTTGTTTTTTACTGAAAGTTAATGGCATTCTGTATTTTTTTGTTTTAAAAACAAAAGGTGTTTGGAGAAAAACATTTAAATTTAAGTTTGCTTCATGAGCATTTCCATCTTGAAGGGCTTTACATTGTGGGTTTCTGAGCCTACATTTTTAATGGGGGCTTTGTGTTATTTAAAAGTATAAATTGTCATTCTTAACTGCATGTAAGTGTTGAAGACAGAAATCCATTATCTAGAACCTCAGATTAATAGTATGTCTTTTGAGAATTACTTAGTGTAAATTTCAGTGTACTTTTTAGTGATAAATAATAAAGATGATAATTATTCTCCTTCTTGAAACTTGATGTTGTTAATGTTAATTTGATGCCTTTTACCCAATATATTTTCCACATTTTTTTAGCCCTTATTCTGGAGCCTCTAATATTAGGCTGTCTTCAGGACATTCAGTACCTATGTTAATTATAAATGTATGTGCCTTATATCAGTAGCTAACATATTTAGTGTTAGATTTTATGAGTTCTTAGCAAAATGTCTGTAAAATAGTGTTAAGAGTTTGAAAATTGGAAGCGAACTTAGAGATAGTCTTTTTCTAATGTTTAGATAAATCTCAGCATAAGTTTATATAAAGTTACATTGCTGAGTTTAATAGCAAAGGCCTGGGATTAGAACTTGAATCCCTAAATTTCAGTAGCTTCTTCTAACTACCACAGCTATTATACGTACATTCCAGGGTATGCTGGCACTTAACAAGTGAGTGGTTTTAGAACCTGCTAGTTCTCTTTGCAAAATACAATGATGTTTGAACTATCATGTCTACAGTGGCAGGGTTCCTTGCTAAAATTCACTTGACTGGAGACTTAAATATTTCCACTCACTCTTCTTACTATAGTAGCAGTGAACCTTGCACATCAGAGTTAGACAGCTTTATCCTTCTTTTCTGTCTCACTTTACTCTCAAGGTGTGGCAGGTCCCCTTCCTGTCATCTTGTCGGGCACACTTTGCTGCCTGTCCATCTATTCCCCAGGCAGAGAAAGCGGGTGCTCATTTACAAGATTTTCATTTGGTTCAAGTGTATTTCAGCCTGGTGATTCAGTAGCATGTTCTCCTGTTTGTGTGTGTGTGTGTGTGTGTGTGTGTTTTAAACTAACATGTTTGAATGATTTTCTGTTTGACAGAGTCTCTGAGATAGAAGCAGGGCATGCAGGGAAATTGAGGCACAGGGTAGATCAAGTTTCCAGGAGGCGTCACACAGTCAGAGTCCAGACTTTCAAGTTTCACCCAGTGTTCTGTGTAGTGTGCCCTGAAATAAGGCACCCATCTTGCTGATTTTCACAACTTGTGTGTACTAGGTTGGTACAAAAGTAATTGTGGTTTCAAACAGAGTTTTAAATCATAACTAGGGTCATACACATATTCACTAACCAAAACAGGAACCACTACAGTCAACACATTTTTGCCAAATAAGTATGTTTATTCCTGTAGTATAAAAGTCCATACCTCAGGATTTGTCGAACTCTTAGAAAGCATTTTCTGCCTCCTGCTGGTTGTGGAAGCTGTTTCCCTGCAAAAACTTGTCGAGTTGCTTAAAGAAGTGGTTGGTTGGTTGGTTGGCAAGGGGTCAGGTGAATATGGCAGATGAGGCAAAACTTTGTAGCCCAGTTTGTTCCGCTTCTGAAGCCTGTGTTGTGGAGAAAAATCGGGCCCCTTCTGTTGATCAGTGCCAGCTGCAAGGGTTGCAGTTCTTGGTGCGTCTCATTGATTTGCTGAGCGTACTTCTCAGGTGTGATCATTTCACCAGGATTCAGAAAGCTGTAGTGGATCAGACCAACAGTAGACCACCAGTGACCATTACCTTTTCTTGGTGCAAGTTTGGCTCTGGGAAGTGCTTTGGAGCTTCTGCTTGGTCCAAGCACTGCCAGTGCTTCGTTTACAGTCCCCTTTTTGTTGCATGTCACAATCCGATTGAGAAATGGTTCATTGTTGTTGTGTAGAATAAGAGAAGACGACACTTCACAACAACTATTTTTGGTTAGCTCATAAGTTACCCACTTACCGAGCTTTTTCACCTTTCAGTTTGCTTCAAATACTGAATGACCAGAGAATGGTCCATGTTAAGGAAGTTCTTCTACAACTTCTCATGTAGTTGTAAGAGGATCAGTTTTGATAATGACTTTGAATTAATTGCTTATTGTCAACTTCCCATGGCCAGCCACTGTGCTCTTCATGTTCAAGGCTCTCGTCTCGTTTGCAGAGCTTCTTGAACCACCACTGCACTGTACATTTCGTTAGCAGTTCTTAGGCCAATGTGTTGTTGATGCTGCGAGTTGTCTCCACTTCTTTATGACCCATTTTGAACTCAAAAAAATAGCTCGAATTTGCTTTTTGTCTGACATCATTTCCATAGTCTAAAATAAATATAAAATAAACACCTAGTAATAAGTCATTAGCAGAGAAAAACATAAAGCAAGAAATGCACGTTAAAATAGTATATTACATAACCACATTTATTTACGGATGTATCCCAGAGAAAGGCAATGCCATAGAATGTTCAAGCTACCGCACAATTGTACTCATCTTGCACGCTATCATAGTAATGCTCAAAATTCTCCAAGTCAGGCTTCAACAGTACGTGAACCGAGAACTTCTAGATATTCACGCTGGGTTTAGAAAAGGCAGAGGAACCAGAGATCACATTGCCAACGTCCATCGGATCATAGAAAAAACAAGAGAGTTACAGAGAAACATCTATTCTGCTTTATTGATTACACCAAAGCCTTTGACTGTGTAGATCACAACAAACTGGAAAATTCTGAAAGAGATGGGAATACCAGACCACCTGACCTGCCTCCTGAGAAATTTGTATGCAGGTCAAGAAGCAACAATTAGAACTGGATGCGGAACAACGGACTGGTTCCAAATCAGAAAAGGAGTACATTAAGGCTGTATATTGTCACCCTGTTTATTTAACTTATATGCAGTATACAGCATTTGAAATGCTGGGCTGGATGAAGCACAAGCTGGAATCAAGATTTCCAGGAGAAATATCAATAACCTCAGATGACACCACCCTTATGGCAGAAAGCAAAGAAGAACTAAAGAACCTCGTGATGAAAGTGAAACAGGAGAGTGAAAAAGCTGGCTTAAAACTCAACATTTAAAGAAAGATCATGGCATCTGGTCTCATCACTTAATGGCAAATGGATGGGGAAACAATGGAAATAGTGACAGACTTTATTTTGGGGGGCTCCAAAAGCATTGCAGATGGTGACTGCAGCCATGCAATTAAAAGACGCTTTCTCCTTGGAAGAAAAACTATGACAAACCTAGCACCATATTTAAAAAGCAGAGACGTTACTTTGCCAACAAAGATTCGTCTAGGTAAACCTGTGGTTTTCCCAGTAGTCGTGTATGGTTGTGAGTGTTGAACCATAAAGAAAGCTGAGTGCTGAAGAATTGATGCTTTTGAACTGTGGTGTTGAGAAGACTCTTGAGAGTCCCTTGGCCTGCTAGGAGATCAAATCAGTCAATCCTAAAGGAAGCCAGTCCTGAGT